GTTGGTTCCATATTTTTGCTATTGTGAATAGAGCTGCAACAAACATATGTGTGCAGGTATCTTTTTTGTAGAACAATTTGAGTTCTTCAGGGTTCTTCCCCAACAGGGGAATTGCTGGGTCATATGGAAGGTCAGTTTCTAGTTCTTTCAGAAATCGCCACAAAAGTATATTCTTATCATTACAATATTCTTGAAAAATATGTGTAATGACTGCATAGTGTTCCGTCATATAGTTGCATCACAATTTGTTTGACCATTTACCCTATTGGAAAGGCACCATAAAAAAATACTACAATAAATACCTTGAACAATTATGTTTGTGTGTGTTCCAACATCATTGAGAATGCTAGCCCAAATCCACCACTTTCTGGGGAAATCTATTTGAACATCAGCCCTTAACTATGTTATATGTTTTCTTTCATCCCTTGTCATGTATAAAAAGATCAAAGTGAATATCTGATAGAAAGTTAGCCAATCCAAAGACTTACCAGTAGTCTGTGGTTTAGTCTGGCCTCAAAAGTTTGTCCAGAAGTAGTTTTTCTCTCAGAAATTTGAATAGAGACCCAAAGGGAATAAGTTAGTGGTGGACAATGTAATTGAAAAAACATAAGTCAGAGATAAAGTGGATAAACAGAAGGTTGACCTGTAGAGAGAAAAGGGAAGATACTCAAAGAGAAAAAGAAATAATACATTCTTGAAAAAGTAACTTCATTATCAGATGGCCAGAAGTTCCCATGTTGAAGTTTCTATTCTTGGATTGTGTGTGTGTGTGTAATTCTACTACGTAATGTTATATAACCCTAGTCTTTATATGAGGTAGCCTGAACAGATCTCTACTCTTTACAATTAGAATTTTCCTAAGAGTTTGAAATTCCATCTCCATAGAATATAGTCCTAGATATATTAATGTCTATAGCAAAGAATGTCAACATTAAATGTTATGATTGGCCAAATAGCTCTTCCAAAAAGTCTGCATCAACTTACCCTCAACATAAGTAGTGTATAAATATACATCACTCCACACTCTCACTGTAGATAACTATTACTATTTTTACTAAAAGTGATATAGCATCACTTTAATATGTTTATACCTTTTGTCAGCTTTTTAAACTAAATAGCCACTTAATTTATAAAATTTCATAGTCATAATCATGGAAAAATATTTTCTTATTTTTGCCTTTCTTGTTTTTGAGCCACAGCTGAATTTTTTAAAATTTTGAATTCAAAGGGTACATATGCACGTTTGTTACATGTATATATCACATGATGGTGAAGTTTGAGTTTCAATTAAGCCCATCACCCAAATAGTCTGCATGGTAAAGTTTTTCAAATCTTGTCCCTTCCTTTCCTTCCCACTTTAGGAGTTCATAGTGTCTGTTGCTCCCATATTTATGTCCATGGGTACCCAATGCTTAGCTCCATTTATAAGTGAAATCATACAGTTTTCAGTCTTCTTTTTCTGCATTCTCTTAGAATGGCCTCCAGCTGCACCCATTTTGTTGCAAAGAACATAATTTCATACTTTATAGTTGTGTAAATTTTTATGTGTTCAAATTCTTAGGTATTTTTTCTGAAGTTTTTCATTTCATCTAACTTTCAAAGTGCACATGTGTACATGTTTTCAACCATATAAAATCCCCTCTAGAGACTTTTAAACATCTTATGTTTAAAATGGTGGAAACTCCTTTTTTCAAAAAAATGAAATTTTATTATTTTCATATAGTAGAGAGATAAAAATTAGGTTCTTTTGTTTCTGAGACAGAAGTTTTCATGAAACCATTCAGAGGTCCACAGAACACAGGTTGAAAACTTGTGCATTAATCAATATATATTTCATTCTCATGTAGATCAGGAGCTGAAAGCCTAATTTTATTTTCACCGAAGAGTTAATTATTTCAGGACTATTTACTAAATAAGCCTTCTCCTACTTATAGATTTTTATCAGATGTGAAGTATATAAGCATATGTACTGTATGTTAAAATACACATAATCCACACAATGGTATATTTCTAAGCTATTTAGTGACTCAGAATTCTAATTTTTAAAAATATACAATTAAGTTGTCCATTATTATAACTTCAATGTAGCCTTATTATATGTCATGGCAATCTCAGTATTTCTTATAATTATGTTTGCTCTTCTCCAATGTCTATTTTTCTTTTTTTAAAAAACTAGAACTTTCTAATTTCAAGTTTCATTGGGATTTTCATGAAATTTGAAATAAATTTATGAATTAATTTAGGAACATACCTTCTGGGAAAATTTTAAGACTATTCAAGTTTTCTTTTATGGTCCTCGATTAATATATTCATTATTTCATCCTGAATTTTCCGTTTAAATTTTTTTAGCAATATTAAAAGTCAGTCTTTTTCCACCCATTACATTTTCTGATTATTGTTTAGAGTTTAGAAAACTCAACTTGATTTTGTATTTTTTACCCACCTTAAGGGTCTAATTAGTTCAATTGAACTTTTAACATATTATAGATGCTCTTTTATGTTTGCCTAGTAAACCCATGCACAGTCTCATATTTAGTCAATCCTTTTAATCTTTTTCATTTGTAATAATACATAATTAAAATTTTAACCCCAGCAGTGTTTTCAACATTTTAAATCGGGCATTTAACATATTTTGATGAATTTGGCTTTCACTCATCTTGATCTGATTTCTCTAATTTTTTAGGGTAACTTCTTGGGTATTTTTGTATTGTCTTTGCTATAGACACTGAATATTTTTTGCTTTTATCTTCTCTCCTGTTTTGAAGGATATATGTACTTTTTATAGTTCTATTAGTTGCAATTTCTAAGTCTGTAAAAAAAAGGTAGACCTTCGTTTGTTAATAAAGAAGAAAATGTTATTATGAGTCCCTACTATTTAAGGTCAGAAATGTACTCTTTAGCTGTCTCTACCCCATAGGGTTGCCAGATTTAGCAAATAAAAACAAAAAATGCCCAGTTAAATTTGAATTTCAAATTTTTAGTGTAAATCCTATGAAATATTTGAGACACACCTATACTAAAAAATTATTTGCTTATATGAAATTCACACTTAACTGTGTCCTGACAACTCTACTCTGCCACCCAGACTTTAATATATTATCTGCTTCTGCCTTCATATTCAACATCTGTGTATTTTCTTATGCAACTATTTAGATTTTTTGCAGTTCTATAAATAAAGTTAGACTTAACTCCATGTTTAACTGATTTCAGTGTCCATCAACAGTCATTTTATACCATCACTTCCACATTCTTGAACTCTTTAAGAAAGGTACATGTATGGTATACTGTTTTTCTGATTATCTAAAATATTTGTTTCCTGCACATAGACAATTCCATTGATAAAACTGTTAGGCGATCGAACAGACTTTTTAATCTTAGAATTCTGAAGGTGCTGTTCCACTGTCTTCTGAGTTACTGTTGTAGAGGTCTGTATCCATTCTCCCTTTTCAGTTTTGTAGGTAGCCAGAATTTTTCTTTCTGCATGCTTTTAATTGCTCTTAATTTTCTAAGTTGTTTAAGATTGTTTTTATGTTGGTTTTGCCTAAAATCTAGTGAGCATATACTTTTAACTCATGAAAAATTTGTTAATGATTTTGATCACTGATTCTATTCCAAATTTTCTTTTATCTTTCTTGGAAATAACTTTAGTTCTTACATGGACCCTCCATTCTGTTCTTTGTGTCTGTCTTTTCTTGTTGTTTCCATCTCATTATCCTTGTCTTATACATTTAAGGACATCTCAAGTTTATCACAGAATTTTATATTCTGCAATGTTAATTCTACTATTTGCCTTTTACCCTGATATAGCATTTTAAATTTCCCTGAAGTCATTCTTTGTTGTATCTATTTCCCTTTTTATTTTAGAGACTCTTCTCTACTTATGGATTTCTACTGTAGCTTTACTGAGTTCAGGTTTTCTATTACACCACTAAGGTTACCAATTTTTTTGAAAATTTCTTCTGGTTCCTGATGCAGCTTATTTCCAGGGTGATAGTCTTTAAGAGAATATTCCTTTATTTGGTAGGCAACTCTTTCTTATTTTTCAAAACAGGTCCACTTTCTTTTTCTCTTGGGAAGTAATATCTAAACAAATTTGTATATCAACAGTTAGGACAGTGTATGCCTATTAACTCTACTCCATTTTTATAATGTCCAAGTTATCATCTTACATAATTAACTTGAGGGTTCATTGTTGCACAAGCTGAGTTAAATTCTGTTCATAGTGGGTATTTCTCTATTACCACTATGCTTTATTGACATTAACTAGAATTCTATTACTTAGATCTCTGATTATTGCTTGGATCTCTGATTATGAAGCAACAGAGTATCTTCCAATTCTAGTACTTCTGTCCAAATCTTCCACATCTTTGAAATTAAATAGAATTCTATTGCTTGGATCTCTGATTATGAAGCAACAGAGTATCTTCTCTTTCTAGTACTTCTGTCCAAAACTTCCACATCTTTGAAGTTAAATTCCTGTATTTCTTGTTACTTTATGTCAGAAACTATAAATAAACATGGGGAAAATAGGGCAGGGAAATGGATGAGAGTATACTATGGTAACTTCAAAGTGCAGCACCCCTGAAATAGAAGGACAGTGCTTGAGTTTTCTAGCCGAAAGATAGAACATCACAAAGATATACTATTTTGAATATAAGGTCACACGATGTTTTCCTATATTTTATTATGTGACTTTTATTCACAAACAATTGAATTCTACTGGCTCTACAGTTAATTCCTCTATATTTGATCAATAGGTTATCTGCCAACTTGAGTTTCACGCTTTTTGTTTGTGTATTTCCATCTTTTCTGTGGCTTCCTCTGTACGTTATGGTGGGGGTGGGGGGAGAGGTCAGGAGATGCTGTTTCAAAGATGGCTAGCCAGTTTCCATGCAAACCCATATTTAAGCAAATGTTTTGGTCAGTGAAAATACAAAGCTGAACACACAGTATAATTCCATGCACATTTGAATGCACAAGAAAAAAGACCAGAATTAAACAGGATAAAGAGTTTTCTTTTTAAATTTTAATACATTGTACAATGACTATGTATTATATTTATAGTAGGTAAAGAAAATACACTTTAACATTAAAATATAGGAATCCCCACAAGGATCTCCATGTGAAGCAAATAATTCTTAGTGAGAGTTAGGGGAAACTATAACTGTTGATTTTGATTACTTGTGTTATCTATAGATTTTTCTTGTCAGCAATATTTATTGGATTTAGACATTATGGTTTATTAAAACTGTTAATCAAATGAACAAAATTTATGAATTTTCTCTTCTATTATTATTGTGAAGATGTAAATTTTGATCAAATTCTTTATAATATTCATGGCATTTATAAGGTTTCTCTCCAGTATGGACTCTTTGATGAATGCGAAGAGCTGAGCTATGACTAAAACCTTTACCACACTTAGTACATTGATAAGGCTTCTCCCCTGTATGGACCCTCTGATGAATGTGAAGATTTGAGCTGTGACTAAAGCCCTTTCCGCAGTCATTACATTGATAGGGTTTTTCTCCAGTATGAACTCTCTGATGAATGAGAAGATGTGAACGCTGACTGAATCCCTTGCCACACTCTTCGCATTTATAAGGTTTCTCTCCAGTATGTACTCTTTGATGAGTGTGAAGTTTTGAACTCTTGCTGAAGCCCTTCCCACACTGAAGACAAGTATAGGGTTTCTCCCCTGTATGGACCCGCTGATGAATGCGAAGATCTGAGCTGTGACTAAAGTCCTTTCCACAGTTATCACATTTGTAAGGCTTCTCTCCTGTATGCACTCTCTGATGAATGTGAAGATTTGAGCGCTGGGTAAAACTCTTACCACAGTCATCGCATTTATAAGACTTCTCTCCTGTGTGTACTAACTGATGAATTCGAAGATTTGAGCTCTGACTGAAGCCCTTACCACACTCGTCACACTTATATGGTTTCTCTCCCGTGTGGACTCTCTGATGAACATGAAGGACAGAACTCCGACTGAAACTCTTACCACACTGATTACACTTAAAAGGTTTCTCTCCTATGTGAAGTCTCTGGTGAACGTGAAGTAAAGAATTTCTACTGAGGTCCTTATCACACTCAAATTTATAGAGTTTCTCTTCTGTGTGGGCCCTTTGATGACTGTGAAGACTAGATATCTGACTGAAGCTCTTACCACACATACTACAGATATAAGCTACCTCCCCTGTGTGGACTCTCTGACGAAAGTGAACTTCTGAGCTCTGATGAAAGCTGTTAACTTCATCACATTCATACAGCTTCTTACCCATGTGGATTTCTGGATATCGAGACAAGTTTGATCTCTGAGACAAGCATGCTGTGCTGATGGAACATTGATAGAGGTTTTCTTCAAGGTGATTTCTCTTGTGGTGAATACACTGTGAGTTCCAATAATACATTTCTTGACATTTATTACTTCCACGGTATTTATCTTCCATAGAGTCTCTCAGTAGATCATTTTGACATATCTCCCCAATGTACTCTGGAAGGGCTTCTTCATCCATTGGGATAAAAGAATGCTGAACTATGACCTTCTGTTCTTTTTTTCTGGAGAAGTTTTTCCTAGATATGCCAAGATGGTATCTGCCTCCTTGAAAATCATGTGAATCACTGATATAGTCTTCAGTCGTTTTTGTTTCTAAGGATTGCCAAGGTATAAACTTTCTATATTTTAAGTTCCTGGTATTTTTGCCTTTGAAAGTCAGTTCATAGTTCCCATAACATGGTACTTGTGTGGAGAGTATCAACCATTCTTGACACTGGGCAAGGTCTTGCTGTTTTAGGTCTCTGGAGTCTATTCCTTGAACAGTTTCCTCATAGTTCTGATTCTTGTTTATCTGAGTGCTAGCAATCCACAAGTCTTGACAGCAGAAAAAATTTTCGTATTCTAAATATCTGAATCTTTCCTCTTGGGGTTTGTAGCTCTTGTTCAGATTTCCTAGAGCAATAAGCAGATAATCCAGTGGTGAGATAAAGGTTGTGTTTAAAAATTTCCAAGTATCTAAATCAATAACCTCCAAAATTATTAGATAGGGGTAGGAAAGAAGGATTAGAACTTTGCCTACTCCATTTGGGTCTGGAATTCATTTGTTTTGTTCATTCTTGTATGTATTCATTCATTCACTTATTCATTCATTCTATAAGCATATCTTGAGCATCTACTATTATTACTAGGCACTGTTAGAAATATGAGTAAGACCAACTGCTTCAGGGAAATATTCTTAAAAGACTGAGATTTACTTGGGACATTAGTAGGAGAAACAAAATGTATTTTTTCTATTTTTCTGTTCTAGAGTAGTGCAGTAGCTTATTTGGGAAAAAATAGCTGCATTAGCCAGTCACAGTGGCTCACGCCTGCAATTCCAGTTCTTTGGGAGGCAGAGGAAAGAGTATTGTCTAAGCCCAGGGGTTTGAGACAAGTCTGGGTAACTTGGTAAGGCCTCATCTCTACAATAAATAAAAAAATTAGCCAGGTGTGGCATGTGCCTATAGTTCCAGCTACTTTGAAGGCTGAGGTGGAAAGATCACCTGAGGCAGCAGGATCACCTAAGACAGCAGGTTCACCTGAGTCCACAGGATTGCCCGAGCCCGCAGGATTACCTAAGCCCACAGATTCACCTGAGCCCGCGGGTTCACCTGAGCCCCGAAGGAGGAGGCTGTGGTCGCTGTGATCATGCGACTGCATTCTAGCCTGGGTGACAAAGTGAGACTCCGACCAAAAAACAAAAGGCTACATTAACACTCTACTTGTCGACATTTTTGGTATCCACTTTCCACACTGTCTCTAGACTTGGGTACACAATTTGCTTTGGCTACTGGGACAATTGCAAAAGTGACACAAGCAGAGACTTGAAAAGTGTTTGTCCTCTGTCTTGATGCTTTTGAAAATCCTGTGACCCCCCCCACCCCACTATGTAAATGTGCCTGAGTTAGCTGCTTTGAGGAGAGACATATGAACAACTCATCCTGTTTATCCCCACTGATACTGCCAGACCTGTGAGTCAGGCCAGGTCTTATCTTAGACCATCCAGCCCAAGTCAAGTCTCTCCTGGCCAGGTGTGGTGGCTCAAGCCTGTAATCCCAGCCCTTTGGGAGGCCAAGGTGAGAGGACTGCCTGAGCCCATGGGTTCGAGACCAGCCTGGGCAACATGGTGAGATCTCATCTTTACAATAAATCAAAAAATTAGCCGGGGGTGGTAACCAGCACCTGTATTTCTGGCTACTTGGAAGGCTAAGGCTAAAGGATAGCCAGAGTCCAGCAGGTCAATGCTGGGGTGGCCATGAGTGTGCCACTGCACTCCAGCCTGGGCGATGGAGTGAGACTCCAACTCAAAAAAATAAAAGAAAATAAGTCTCTCCTGATGAAGGATCCATCCAGCTACTAAGAATCATGAAAAATAATAAATTTTGTTTTAAGCCACTAAGTTTGGGGTAATCTGCTATCTAATAAAAGCTAACTTAACACACAAATAGCATTACAGATGAACAAATTTAGGAGCACACAAAACTGACTATGCATGGAGATATGTGTTTTAAGGGTAATCCAGAAAACAACTAAAAATAATAATCACAAATATCTATTAATTATATAGCCTAGGTGTCTGTAAGATGTTTTGCTTTATCTTCTACTGATTAAAGACACGTTTTTGAGAATATTCCTTCTATTACCTGAATAAAATACCCGGATTCTTCCACCACTTCAATATAACACCCACATAAAAAATCAAAATACTACACAAAACTGGTTCTAGAATAAACTATGTCTATTCCCTATAAGGTGAGATAACTTTACCTACTGACATGACATTTGTGTAGTTTTCCCACATGACCTCCCTGTAGAGTCTTTTCTGAGAAGAATCCAGGAATTTCCATTCCTCCCATGTAAAAATAATAGTCACATCTTCAAATGTTACTGCCATCTGGTCAAAGATCAGGCTTTCAGGACAGAAGAAATCTAAGTGAGAAGATGGACAAAGAAAAAGACGTTTAGCCGGCAATATAAGTGGCAAACCAAATAGAAAAAGAATGAACTTCAATAAGAACGAAAACCAAGAAAAGTAAGGAGATGTGTAACAATAGTCATCAAATGCTTAAATAACATATCTAATTATTGAACACATCACTATCATAAGAAACACCTAGGTAGTACTGCCTACTACCCCTTCTGCTAAATAGTTCACCTACATTTGTTAATCCCCACAGCAATCCTATGTTATAGGTTATCATCGCTGTTTTATAAAATAATCAACAATGGTTCAAAAAACATAAGTAAATTCCCAAGATCACAAAGCTAGAAAGTAGCATAGCTGAGACTCAGGTCTGCAGACATCAGACCAGAACCATTTGCCAACTATAACAGTGTTGCTCAATGTTATTTATATCGTTGCTTTATCTATTTACCTTTTGCTATAAGGAATCAGATCCTATTCCCTAGACCTCCACTCATTCTTCTCATATGGTGTTGTCACTTCACTAATTTTCAGTCAAATCAATAAGGAGCTCTTATATAATTTTGACAATGATAATAAAGTTTAGTAGGATTGCCTGTTTTTTAATTTAATAAATCTGCTATCCTTGTATTGCTACCAAACAAAAGGGGCTTGCTTCTAAATGTCTTAGAAGCCAATGTATGATACCAGGTTTTTGAGAAAACAAAAGTTTTTTATTGCAAGTCAACTAACAAGGAGACAGAAGTCTAGCCCAAATCCATCTCTATGCTGGTTTTAAATTTTATTATAAAATATCTAGGGAGTAGGTACTGGGATTAGCAAGTGATTGATAAAAGGAAAGGGGAAATCTAAAGTCCCTGGGGATGTGCATCCTCCTCATGGGTCCTATATGCAAGAAAACTCAGGGGCAGTTAGTATGAAACAAGTGGTAGAATTTCAGGCTGTGACATCAGCAAGCTCATTCTCCAGTTGCCCATATTTGTTGCAACCAATTTTATTCAGTTCTTTTATCTCATAATTAGATGGAGTTTCAGTGTTTCAGCAAGTTTTTTTCTTTTTTTTATCTGCCATCCTGTAAACTAAAAAGTTGCTGTTAGTTATTGGTTTATTTAACTCTTTGAGAGCCCAGTTTCAATATTCTTAATTATTAATATTTTTAAATATTCTATATAATTTATCAATTGTCTCACTATCCTCCCACCTCATTTTATTTTAGAAACGTCGTCCTCCTGCTACAATCTGGATCTGGGCTATTCTTTAGAGCTCCATTTTCAAGATCACATAATTATTACTCTTTTGTGATTTGCTCCCTTTATTTTAGAGGAGCACACTCAAATGAGTTCAATCAAACTTATGAATATTAAGACCATGACCAATGAAAAAAGCAAAAGAAACAGGCAAAGTTCTCTTCAGGACACATCATTTGATTTAAAAAAGAATCTCCAAGTACAGTTACTATGGAAAATTCCCAGGAGTCATTTGAATCACTGTATACCTGAAGTCTTCATTATCCCCTTACAACTGTCTGTGTACAGAATTCTAGAGTGAAATAATCGTTCTCAGAATTGCTTCATTATTTTCAAGCAGTGTCACTGCTAAGACTGATTTTTTAAAAAATTCGAATTCCTTTGTAGGTAATCTTTTGTTTCTTCTCTGATAAGATTTTAGGATCCTTTTTCACCTGATCCTTTGGTTTGGGACCTTTTTCATTGGTTCTGCTGAGCATTTAGTGAGCATTAATCTAAAGGCTTCTGCTCATCCTCTCTATTTTCTTGTTCTTTGAAGACTTCCTTCCCCCCTCTGAATTCTCGCCTCTAGAACACTGTATGTACACTAAGTCACACAACAGTCATATATCAATTCTCATAGATGATCTCTTTATGTTTTATCCATTTTCCCTTATATTATTTATCTCTATCTTTTTGTTGTACCATCTAGGAGATTTTCTCAACTTTTCCTTCCAGCTTTTCCATTGAATTTTTTATTTTGGCAATTATATTTTAATTTCTAAGAGATTATTTTCATTCTCCCATGTTTCCCGCCCCCCCCCCCCCCCCCCCCCCCGGCATCCTATTCTAGTTTTATAGATGCTTTAAAATGTTTCTGAGATAGTAATAAGAGTTTCCTCAATACAAGGTCTTTTTAAATTACTTTAGGAGTACTAATTAGAATTGGAATTACGTTTTCTTATGTTATCTGCATTATGTTTCCTCAATATTATCATTCCCACCCCACCCGTTTATTTTGGTCTCATTCTTAAAAGTTGAAGATTTCACTTAAATATCTAGTAATTCTTATATCAGCTGAATCAGTTATCAAATGTCAGAATTCTCAAAGAGTGTTCAGTTATTTCAGAAAAATAAGGTCTAATTTCCTGTTTGGAGAGATAAGTGTTTACCTGCATCTCACTCTGACCCTCTGCTTCAAGGTATGGGTGTAACCTTAGCCTCTCTGAAGTTCACAGGGCTCATCAGTTCCTTGCTTGTCTGTATTCTTCCCCTGTAGGAATATTCTAGGATATAATGGATATAATGTCTCTAACCCTAAGTGGTTCTTACCACTATTCCTCCTGTTGTCTTCCAGGTTTTTATTGAAATTTTTCATTTGCTGATGGCTCTTCACTTAATCATTGCAAAATCATATATCTTTTCATTGTTTTTTTTTTTTTTTACTACTTATGCAACTGGTTTAGAAAGGAGAAGAGACAAATACATATATTCAAACTGCCTAAAATATTTCTTCTAGTGGAAAGAACAGATCATAAGTTGATTATATGACAAAGTAATTTTATTTCTTTGATGACACATTCTCAATTCTAAATTTCAATTTAAACTATTAAGTACAAAGAATAAGGAAAATAGAGACTGTTAAGGGGTTTACAATACGATGGAAGGAAACTAAAATGTTTTTATCAGCAGCACCATAGCAACAGCTAAACATCAGTGAACATTAGTTAAATAAATAGGTCTATGTTACCTCATTTATTCTCACAACAATCCTATAAGGTATTCCCCACACTGAAGGAATAAGGAAACTAACATTTAGCAAGCCTAAGCAACTTGTACAAGTTCATTTAGTTACACAGTAGAAGTTTTTAAACCTAGGGTTACTTATTAAGTGAAAATGAGTGAAGTTAAATACATTGGTGAAGTGTTGTAAATTGAAATGTCCATATATCATCACAATGTGTTAATGAAGATGTACTGAAATATTTCAAGGGTCCAAAATATACTACCAATTACTATTTTTCAAATAAACTACATGAAAATGCATGCCTTTCAAACAATGAAACATTAAATAACACAAATAAAAACTCAGTGCTGTAAATTTATATATCTAGTGGCTTATTTTTAAATGCTTATAAAATAAATTTTTAAAAATTTAAGATAATAAGTCTATTTTTTAAATGTAAATAAAATAAGAAAAGAAATTAAGGATGCTCAGAAGCTAGGAATACAGAACTGAAACCTATGAAAGTTGGTATCTGTCTGGAATATAAAGTAACACACTTAACTCTCATTTTGTCAAAGGTACAGTAAAAATTAAACACAAACTGTGGCTACTGACTTTGTTATTTTTTGTCATTATTTTTTATCTTTAAAAAACATACTAACTAATGTTTTAGGAGTCTTAAAACAAGTCTCAATCACTTTAGGAGTACAAGTGGTTTTTGTTCCATGGATGAACTGTATACTGGTAAAGAAATCTGGGTTTTTGTGTACCCACCACCCAAATACGATACATACACAAGTCAATAAATGTAATTCTCCACATAAACAGTATTAAAAACAAAAACCAAATGATCATTTCAAGAGACACAGAATACGATTCAATAAAATCCAATCCTACCAAAACCTCTGGGATGCCATGAAAGCAATTGTAAGAGGGGAATTTATACCTCCACAAACACACATCAAGAAAATGGAAAAATCACAAGTTAACAGCCTAACAAATCACCTAAGGGAGCTGGAAAGACAAGAGCACCAAAACCCTAACTTTAGCAGAAGAATCCAGATCACAAAAGTAAAAGCCCAAATATGGGAAATAGAAGACAAAAATATCATGGAAAAAATTAACAAAACAAAAAATTGGTCCTTTGCAAGAATAAACAAGATTGATGGACCCCTAGCCAGAATGACTAAGAAAAGGAAAGAAAAAGCCCAAACAAACACAATCAAAAATGCAAAAGATCAAATCACAACTGACCCCCCCAAAGAAATACAAAAGATTACCAGTGATTACTATTCATACCTGTATGGATACAAACTTGAAAACCTAAATGAAATGAAGAACTTTCTGAATCACACAGCCTCCTAAGGTTGAAAAAAGAAGACACTGACGCACTAAGTGGACCAATAACAACCCAGGAAATTGACTCCATCATAAGAAAACCACCTACCTTCCAAAAAAAAAAAAAAAAAATCCCTGGACCAGATGGCTTTCCAGGGGAATTCTATAAAACATACAAGGAGGAGTTGATATCAATCCTATTGAAAGTATTCCAGGCAATTGAGAAAGATGGAATTCTCCCCAAATCACTTTATGAAGCTAACATCACACGGATACCCAAACTGGGTAAAGATACAACAAAAAAAGGGAATTACAGGCCAATATCCCCCATGAACATAGATGAAAAAATTCTCAACAAGATTCTAGCAAATCGGATCCAACAAAACATCTCAAAAATCATTCACCATGATCAACAGATGTAAAAATAAGAACCACATGATTATGTCATTAGATGCAGAAAACGCTTTTAAAAATTCAGCATCTTTTTGATAAAAACCCTCAAACACTTAGGCATAGAAGAAACATACCTCAAAATACTAAGTGCCATCTATGATAAACCCACAGCTAGCATATTGCTAAACGGACAGAAACTGAAAACATTTCCCCTGAAAACTGCAACAAGACAAAGCTGCCCATTCTTACCCTTCTTGTTCAACAGTGTGTTGGAAGTCCTGGCTAGAGCAAGCAGACAACAG